CCTCCTCCTCCTCCTCCTCCTCCTCCTCCCCCTCCTCCTCCTTTGCTCCAGGGAACGACGCACGGGAGGGGCTGCGGCGAGAGGGGTCAGGGCTCAAGGGACGGGGAACAATGCAAACGGGGGTCAGTCAGAGAGCGCCGGATCTTGAAAGATCCTGAGGGGCCAGGGGCGCTCTGACCCGGGCGTGGGCGCAGGATCCTGCATGTTTCGCCGCGACCTGAAGGTAGGTCGCTCTTGCCTTGGGCCGCTCTTGTGTATTCTGTGGAGACTCATGCCAAGAAACACCCTGCTCGCCTCCAGGGTGCCCTGTGTTTCTTGGGTTTCTTGGGTTTCGATGGTTTTGCTATGGAACGCGTAACGTTCCCACACCAAGAACCAATGGACGTCCTGGGGTCTCAGGGTTGGGTATCTTGTGGAAGGTTTCTTGTGAACTGGCCTCCCCTGTAGGCCACTCTTGCCTAGGGTCACTCTTGCGTAACTCGCGGGCAAGATTCGGCGCGCTTGCGCGGCGCCAGGTCGTCAGTGCCCACGTCGTCGCGGCGGGGGCCTGCCAAGTTCCGTCTCCTGCTCCGGGGGAGGGGCGAGAGGGGAGGGCAGCACTGGATCGTGGGTGCAGCTGTCGATGACCCTCAGGACGTCTGTCAGCCCATTGTGTGTGTGTGTGTGTTGTCTCCCCCTCTGAGCGGGCTCGGCTCCATCCTCCCTCTTGCCCGCGCCGGGTTTCCTCCTCCCTCCTCCGTGCATTGCGGCTCAATTCGGCCTCCGTGTATCCCACTTACGCCCCATCGCCAGCGCAGTGACTCTGCCTAGCCGCCGACGGAACAAGTGTGTGTGTGGTGTGTGTGGTGTGTGTGTGTGTGTGTTGGTGTGTGTGTGTGTGTGTGTGCGTTGCCCCATTCAGCTACCCCAGCAGCGCGCAGCCCGTGTCTGCCCTCACTAGCCACGCCCCCATGCGGCCCGTATCGAAGCGCTTCGGGTGGACAAGCACACGTTGGCGCTCACGCACGCTCTGAGGATCATCGAAGCTCGCAGAGGTGTGAGGACAGGGTCATGGACTCTCTAGGCGGCAGGGCCCAGTGCCATTGCATGTTGCACGTGTATTCACTGCGGCACTTTCTCCCGCCGCCACTTGCCTGGAGGGCGAAGCCCCTGCCATGGCCTGTCGTCTCGCTCGTGGCCTACATCGTCGTGACGAAAGTTTCTTGCAATTTGCCTTTTGGAATGACGCGCTCGTGCGGAGTAGTTCGGGGTAGTTTTGCTAAAACTACTCCGAGCGCAATCGCATCCCGCTCTATAATTTTATGGTTTGGCGCGGAGTAGTTTCCGATCCCGTTTTGGGGTAACAGAGTTATCAGCGTCTCCGGGATCGGAAATTACTCCGCCGAATGATCCCAGCATCATGTCATGTTAGGATTCTTGAGAGGGATGGGAGAGATCTCCATCAGAGCAAATTGAAGAAACTGTTGTCACGGCTGTGTATGTTTGCAGCAGCACGCGGCATTGAAGCTTACAGCAGCCCGATGGTTCAGTCAGTATACGGAGGGCGCTAGCCGTACGCATGCTCAGATCTTGGTCAGGCCGTTCCTTAGCCCAGGGGCGATACGTCGTCCCAGCTTGGCCAGGAAGGTATATGTGCCAATCCTGGGCCCAGCATGGCCTGGCCAACATCGATCCAAGTCTACAGGTTGCGCCCTCGAGACCATCGTAAGTAGGACGCTCTCGGCACTTGCGGCAAGCAGCCCGACGGAGCCGAGTCTGAGTCTGACGGAACTGTCGGCCAGGACGGCGCCCGCGTTCTTGCGCGCCTCTCCTCGTCGCCATCGTCGTCGCTGAAAGGAGAACGGCAAGGGCGGGAGGACGAGGGGAGGGGGATAGAGGGAAAGGGGGACGAGGAGGAGGCGGACCGATGCGCTTCAGGGATGAAACCCTTCATGGCGCGACAAATAACGGAAACATAGCGGAGGCGGACCAGAGGGCGCAGGGGGAGTTTCAGGAGAAGCAGGAAGAGGAGAATGTCGGGAGGGTGCAGAGCAAGCAGGATGGACGGGGACGAGGACGGGCGCAGGAACACGAGAGGAGGAGGAAGAGGAGGGAGAGGAGGAGGAGGAGTTGATGACGACGGCGGTGGTGATGATGATGCTGATGATGATGTTGGTGATGATGCTGATGCTGATGATGATGATGATGATGATGATGATGATGATGATGATGATGATGATGATGCTGATGCTGCTGATGATGATGCTGCTGATGATGATGGCTATGATGATGGCTATGATGATGCTGATGATGGGAACATGATGATGACGAGTAGAATGATGTTGGCGATGTTTCTTTTATGAGTATGAGGGTGCTGCTACTGCTGCTGATGATGATGATGAACAGGAGGAGGAGGAGGAGGAGGAGGATGATCTGTTGGAGAGTGGCATCCCGACTGGGTGAGCAGGTAACGAGGCCTTGCGGCCTTCAAGGCGGGAGCTTTGCACACGGCCTGCGCCCGCTGGCGTTTGGCTCGGGCATCACCCGCCCCCGCGCCGACGAACACTCCTACCACATGCACACGGTCGCGGAGCCCGCGATGCGCCCCACGGGCTCCGGAGCAGAGCTGGCGGCGGCGGCAGCTGCGGCCGCCCCCCGGCGAACCTTGGCACCGACGGTCTGGGTGGACGACGCACGGCCAGTGGAAGCACGGGGAGTTTGGCAGACATTTTCAGGGCTCGTTTCGATTCCCCCGATTCGATTCGATCCGATTTCGATGGATTCCGATTCCGATTCGAAACGATTTCGGCTTCCGATTTGGGCTCCGATTTCTTATTGGACACATACTAGGCTGCCGATGTCAGCCGATTCGACTTTTCCCGACTCGGCTGCCGATTTCCGCCGATCCGATTCATTTCGATTGCCGATCCGACTTATCGATTCGATTCTGGGCTCTCCTGCATTTTGGGCACGAGCCGCTTCGTGGAACCAGGCAGCGCAGGTTGCGAGAACGGGGGGGTTCGGGTGCGTAAGCACAGTGCTCAATGCCAACCACGAGGGCACGCAAGTGTTTTTTAATGATCGCGGCGCCATGCAGGGCACGAGGGCACTGGGCAATGACGAAGCATTCAACAGACTTCCGATGGATTATAAGATGGCAGCCCTCCTGAATTCAGCTGCCAGTCACAACATGTACTGCTAGGAGCCGTCCCGCAACCTGAGAGAGTATGTAGCCAGAGAGTCGGGGAATCATGCGAACGCATCGGAGCATGTTTCGCTTTTGAAATCCAGACCGCAGGAAGTACTTGGAAAGGAGGAAGCGGGAGCAAACCCGTGAATGATCACAAATCGTTTCCAGACGGCAAAGCCACATTCGGATAATGGGTCGAGAAGTTGTTAATCGCACCCGCCCTGGCAAAGCACGTTGATCGGGAACTCAGCAAAGAAACAGAAACAGCAACATCGAGAAACCATTGGTGGAGCTTCACCCGATGACGAGAGTCCCGCAGTCAAAGACGCACAAGGACAACTCAAATGGGGAGTACGAAATAGATGACGACGGTCACGAAGAGCTTGACGAGGATTTTTGGCAAGTGTCCAATGTCAAATTCGAAGGAACAGAGCCACGTCAGGAACGTACGGTTCGGCGTGAAGGAGGTGGCTGAATGGTATTATGCGGCTGCTGGGGTTGCACTTTCGCACATTGTGAAACTTGTCAGCAACCCCGAACAGCCAGAGGACGTGAATGCATAGATGTGCAGCTCGAACAGTGGATTGCGTTGGTAGATTCCCTGGAGAAGTATGCCAGGTCGTTACCACTGCCTTTCAAGTTTACAGCCTTGGGGGTCATCATGACCCACGCAGGGTTTGATTCGATGGCTGACAACAAGACTGTTTCGAATTCCCGAGTCTTTGAGCACCTGCCGGATGTTCTTCTCTCCGTGCGGGGATTGCGCGAGGACGGAAGACTGGCCCCCGATGCGAAGAACGCCGACGCAATGGACGTCGTCCAAGGCAACGATGATGAAGGTGGAAATTGGGACGCCAGCAGCGGCAATGCAGGTTGCTACGAAAGGGTGGGCAACTCGTGGATCTGGAACATGGAAGACGCTGCCGAAAGCGACATCGCGGACGAAGTAGTTGAAGGGCGGCGCAAGGGCACATGGCCCGCGTGCCACAAGTGCGGCGGGCATGGGCCCCTCGCCAAGGATAGTGCGCCCAAAAGAATCACACAGGGAGGCGGGGGCAGATGCTGCAGTGGCGCCAAGGGCTACTGCGGGGCGCAGGCAGGCGGATGCAAGGGGGGAGATTTCGGCGCCAAGGGCTACCCAGCAGGGCACAGCAAAGGAGGACGCAAGGGCAAGTCGCAAGGAGGTTATCGATGGCGGCCAAGCACAAGGCAGATCAATTGCGACGATCAGCGAGAGGGATCGTTTTAACTGCGCCGAGTAGGGTCACATTGCAGCCAGCTGCCCCAGGAGCACCGACGAGGCCCCCCCCCGCTGGCGGAGCAGGGGGGCCAGGAGAGCGCGCGCAGATGTCGGGGCAACCTGTTCTAGGGCCGGGATGTCGCGGCGCCGACGCGCGCGAGTTTACCCGCGGAAGTGACATCGTTCATGGCCCCACAAGACCGGCGCCAGCTAGAGGGGCGCGGGCGCGGAGGGCGCAGCGCTAGCTGGCGAAGCGGGGGGGCCAGGAGGCAAGGCCAGGGATCCATAGGGGGGCATGTATCAAACGAGCGCAGCTTAATTTGCATCCGCGGCGCAAATCTGGGCAACCGAATTTCGGAATGCATCGGGCAAGGGGAATGTTGGGCGCGCAGATGCGCCGGGCCCCGGCTGGCGGAGGTGGATGGAGCCCAGCGAGGAAGTCAGTGATTTGCTAGTGATGGGCCGCCGGGCTGGGAGCGGGGCGATGGCTGCGATCGTGGATTCAGGGGCCAGCGACACGCATGCGCGGGAACCCGCCATCCAGCGGGCCGCCGAGGCCCCCGAGACAGCCGAGCGCGGCGGCGCAGCGAGCGGGTCAGTCAGTCATTAGGGACGCGGGCTCTGCTGAGGACAGGCGAGAAGGAAAACGAGGCGCTCGGGTCTGCGCGCGAGATGGTCGAGGCAGCGAATCGCATAGAGTTGGATCGAGACAACGACGCGCGATCCTGCAGTCGCCCCGGGCGCGGTGCAACTGAACAGACGACGGCAACTTGCAAGAGGAGCGGCAAATTCAAGTCCGCTACGTGGGCCCCCAGAGAAGGTTGCAAGTAGGGGGCAGGCGAGTCCTGCGAAGGATTTCGGCGATTTGAGATGCGGGGGCCCGCGCGGGCAGGGGGCCCTCGCGACGTGGAGAAGACGAGGGTGGAGGCCGCGAGCGAGTTGAGCGACGTCGCCGGCGCATTCGCGGGGGACGATGCCGAAGTGCCCGAGGAAATCGCGCGCGACGCGAGTGAGTCGAGTTATACAACAAAGCTGATCATCATCATCGCAGCCGGCGCCACCAGTGCGTTTGCGTTCAGCGCCGCAGCCGGCGCCGGAAGGCAGGGGGCCGGCGCGCGCGCGCGGGCGGGGGCCGCGGGGCAAGGGCCGCCGGCGATCTCAACCGATCGCGCGCAGTCGAGCCAGACAAAGAAGACTTTGACGAGGGGAGGGAAGGACATCCCATTGTAATCTTGCGTTGCTAGGGCGCCAAGTCAACTTGCGAAGGCAGTGGGCCCTTTCTCGATCAAGTTTGTCCGCGGCGTGAACTTGTTTCCTGGTCATCGGAAGGCAATTGTTGGAAATGCGCGTGGATCATCCATTGCGGTCTCTCGCAGTGGCCGCTGAAGGTTCATGCGACCTAGGCTTAGGAGCGGACGTTAGCCATGTCGGAGATCCCCAAGCAAGCGGCGAAGCCGAAAGGGATATACCAAACCGCGCATGGGCGAATCCGCGCGCGAAGAGCGATCTAGGCGACAGGTGCGAGGTGGAGTCTGGGGGGGGGGGGGCATGCGCTCATGCCTTGGGTGGTTGCGCGCGCATCTCCCCTCTTTGACGTGTTCGCAGTTGACGCAGGCGGTAAGGCGGCCCATGAGAAATGCCGAGCGCGCAAAATTCAACCCGGCGATGCCTGCGTTCGAAGGGTGCGTCATGCATCTGCAGGCGCCCCTAGAGGGGGGGCAGCGTCGTCGAGGCAAGATGGGCGATTGGACAACGCGAGCGCATGAAGCGAGCCAGGAGTTGTTCATCGGCACTCGGGATGGCGTCGCCGCATCCCATGAGGTCAGGCACGGCGGAAGCGCGGGGGGGAAATTGGATCTGGACGGGGTTGCCCACGTGAGTGGGTTAATCTCGGCTTCTTGATTCCAGCGTGCTTGGACTGGCTGCTGGAGCCAGAGTGACCTTGCCGACGGCGGCCCCTGGTCGGGATTCGGCCGCCGGCGCCGGGCCGTCAGTGGCGCGATGGGGCCGCGGTGAAGAAGTCGGAGAACGCGGCTGCGGGGCCGACGCCAGGGCGCCACGGTTGCAGAGGCAGGGCTGGGCTGGGGCAGACGCATCGCGTGAACCGGTTGGCCAGAATGTCGCAAAACGGTCGACGAGCGGCTAAATGGACAAGGCGATCCGAGCCTTCAGGAGAGGTCAGCGGCAGCCTGAAGGACATCGGAGGCCGACGGCGCCAGGCCGAACCAGCAAACGGAGGATACATTAATTTGCAAGTTGGTCTTCAGCGACGGGCCAGCCAGTCGACGACGCTGTGAACCCATAACAAAATGGCATGCGCCGACAGACCGACGAAGCTATCGCCCCCCAGCGATTGAGCAATGAGAGACACGCGCATGGCAGTCATCTAGAATCTGGCGAGATGGAGGACATCACAGACGAATTGATTGATGCATGTGGCATGATGTTACGGAGGCCGTGTGAGTTATGTAGAACGGTGGACAGCACGGGCTGAGTTTCGCATTTTCTTTGGCGGTGTTATCGACGAGCGCCTGACTGGCGGCGTTTCGCACGAGGTCAGCGGCGGTTAAATCATGGCAGAGGACACAGGGCCCAATGAGAGGGATCGGGGAGTTAGAGATGAAAGGCGCGAAGACCAACATGTGCAACGAGGGGGCGCTGGATCTCGAGGAGGCGAGGGGCCCGATGACGGGCGCACGCAAAAAGGCAAGCCCGATTCGGTAGGCGCGGGCCAGGGTAACATGAACGCAGATGATGTTCGTGCTGGGTTAAACGTGATGGTTGTTGATCCCGGCGTAGCGGCGTGGTTACTCGACGCAAACCTGGGCGCCGTCAGGCACGTCCATGAAGTCAGGGGAGAGCGAGGTGAGGTGATGTGGCAGAGGCCAACGCGCAGTCGCTCGCTCCCGAGGCGCGCTCTCTAGCGCGAGATGCCGGCATGGCGGAAGAAAGTGGTGGATTTGATTGCGCGCCGTGAGCGTGGGGACCCATTGTGCGTTAGTCAATCGGCAATGTGCTCGCAGCGCCACTGTTAGTAGTGAGCCCAGGGTGCGCGGCTTCCACGAGGTTGCAAGCTACTCCAATGATGGCGTGATGAGGCGCGCAGACTTGCGGTTGTTTTGTCTGGAATACAGCGGGGCAGCGGGCTATAGTTTCTCATCGATCTTCTTGCAGGTGCCTCAAACAGGACCGCGATACCATTGCAGAGAATGCTGCAGCGTTACGGAGTGCACACATATAACGGACGCACATGCCGTTGCAACCTCGAGTACATTGCAGGGGAGAGGCAGTTCTCATGTAGACCCACCAGGCGCATGTCCAGCAGCCCCTGTGCTGGTCGGCCCCCTCAGCGCGAAGCGTCGCGACTAGCGTCGAGACATCGGAAGTATTCCTGGACCAGCTGTGCCGAGCTTCACTGACAGGATTGTTTGACCGACTGGCGGTTGAGGGTCGGTTGGGGCGCACTTTCAGGCCGCGCGATGCGCGCGTCATTTTTTGCGAGCCAGGCGAGGAAATTGAAATGCACATGTTACGTGCGAGCAATATGAAAGTGGGCATGGGCCCTTTGTTTCCTGGGCCAGACACTCATGCGCTTCTTGCTTGTTTCCCCCGAGAAGTTCAAGGCCGCCGCGGGGCCCGTGCCAGCGCCGAGCCACTCGCGACTTGGGGCGCTGGCCAGATTATCGAGCACCTGGGAGTTCGCGAGATCGAGGGGAAGGAGAGGGGGAGAGAGTCCGCAGGATGAGCTCGCAATATCGCCGCGCTTCGCTTGCCCGGTTAGACGGGGCATCCAGCCTCGTCAAAGGACTTGGGGAACACGTCAACATCAGGTCAACATCAGGGATGGTCGAATCTTGGGAGGGGAGCGCGGGGGCGGCGGGGGCGGGGGTGGGTGGGTTTGGGGGGGGGGGGGGGGGGGGGGGGGGGGGGGGGGGGGCGCGCGAGGCATGCGAAAACATCGCAGAAGCGCGCAGTTGCCAGGGGGGGCACGCGCGTAGTTCATCGCGAGGATGGCAGGCGCGGGCCAGGGGCGACGCGTTGGGAAGCGAGCCCGAGTCGGAACTCACGTTGCAGGCGCGTCTGGAGGAGATGGAGAAGCTCAGGGAGGAGGAGGTCCATTGCGAATTTGCCGGGGAGGGTGTGCTGGACTGTCACTGGCCAAGCTCCCATAGGCACTTGGTGGGTCGAGATGAACGATGGCGACGAGGATAACCCTGAGTGCCCTTCCCACCTGGCGGCCCAGCACGTTAAATGCAATCCCAAAGACGAGAACGCAAGTGCAGCCGACGGACAAGAACAGGTGTTCTCAATGGCAGTCATTGGGGGGCTGGGGCGTGCACCAGGGGGTCGTCAGGAAGGTATCAATGTTGGGCTTATAGATATGTCAAGCGCGTGCATATACGCCGGGGCCAAGGCGGGCGTCTCCGTCGGATTACCAGACGAAGACGGGGCACCAGGCATGCTTGGGAGACTGCAGAAGTCAGTGTGCGGCGCCAGGGGCACCGCGAGCAATTTGGGAGCTTGCTACATGGCTTCGCGCGCGACATTGTCGTCGACAACGGGGCGGCGTCGCTGCGCGCGTTTGCACGCGGGGCGACGCGACTCTGGCTGACAGCTCACGGAGGCGATCTCAGTTGATAAGGGACATGTCGTTTGTCTTGAGTGGTTCGAGGATGCAGTTGAACGCGCGCATTCGAGTTTGACGTCCGGGGCAGACGTGGGCCTGGGCCAAACGACTTCAAGCCGTCCAGAATTATCACGCATATTGTGGACAGACACCATTACGAGTTGTCGCATGAAGCGGGCCATCGGCGCCGAGACATTTGCCAAATATGGAGGGCTGGAGCATCCCGGGGTGAGGCGTGATATACCAGGCGAAAAGTTACCTTGCGTGGAAGAAGACCAGGAGGCCCCCCGTCCAGGCCACCCGGTTCAGAAATGCCCCGTCCTGGTGGCCAGGGCAAATGATCTTGGACAGGTCCTTTCGGATATGCAGTTTTCAGGCAAGGGGGTCGCGCTCTCTATGTCGGCCCCAGCCCGAGGGTCGCGGAAAGGTCTTTCACTGTCTGCAGGCGCTTCGAGGAGCGCCACAGGTGTGGGAACTTGCCGTTTGCATCAGGAACGCCTTGGGGAGTTAATTGTGTAGAGAGACGCCGACTATGCCGGTTGCAGGAAAACGTAGCAAGCAACGAGGGGGGCTCAGTGATGTGGGGATCGCGCCTCGTTGCGCCGTGGGCTGCTGTTCAGACCGTGGTAGCCTCGCCCCCAAGAGAAGCAGGGTATCGCAGAATGGTTGAAGGCGCCCCAGTAACTTAAGGATTGCAAGTGGTTCTCGAGGACTTTGACGTTGATTGCGTGGCAGCGTGAGCGACGCAAGAGAAGCCGTTGCCACGGCGAGCAGGCGCGGAATTTGGAAATGCCAGACACACCGACATCTGCCACCTTTGGTTACACAGGAAGGTAAGTGGAGGACACATCAGAGTAACCGATGTATTCGCTCATGAGAACCTCGCAGATGTTCTAACGGAATATGTGATCAGGGACAGCATGTCCATGTATATGCGATGTATCAATCAACACCTTGTTAATTTCAAGGCGTGGGCTGGAAGCCGCTGCGGGGTGTTAGCTCAATCTATATCCAGGCTATCGTTTCGAACCGCTCTTCCAGGGGCTTGAGCTCTGGATCATTTGCGGTCCAGGTTCTCGTCCATGCGCTTGAAGGTCTGCACGAATGGGTACGTTCAGCTTGTTGCATGACTCGGCGATGTGCAGCTCATAGGAATCTTGTACCGCGTGCCTGGAGGCCCCGGCACGCTTTCGCCCGAGTCATACTCGCCTTCTGCTTGGACCAGCTGTGCTTCCAAGTGCTTCATCACTGCGTTTGTAATGCTGGCTGGCTTTGCTGCCCTGCCCAGTCGTTTCACTCTCGCCCCGCTCGTCAGCCGGCTTATCACCCGAATGGGGGGTTTTCGCCTGCGGCGCTCTGCCCGGGTGAGCAGGAGACGGGGTTCTGCGGCAGTTGGAGCGGGATTGTTGCACGCGGCCTGCGCCTAATTGCCGTTTGCTTCAAGGGACAAGTGTCATTTGCCTCCTCGTAAGAATTCCCTTTCCAGATGCGCGTGGTGATGCCGATGATGTTGCTGCTGCTGTGGGGGATGATGATCATGATGATGTCTGTGGTGATGGTAGTTTTGACGGTGATGTTGGCGATGCTGATGATGACCATGCTGATGATGGCGCCGTTGATGATGATGGGGGTGAGGATGAGGACGGGGACGGGGAGCTTGATGATGATGTTGATGATGATGATGTTGTGACCGAAGGGTTTTGGACCAGGAATGACAACGCCATCGGCCAGCAAGAAGTTCCCGGACGTGCTGCGGTCGGCCAAGGTGTCTTTGCCTGGGCCCGACGCGCAGGCGCAACAAGAGCGCCGTCCGAGAGAGTGCGCCTCGGCCACTTCCACAGACCAGCGTCCGCAAGCTTGCAGCCAGCACGGGCGAGCAACCACACTTTTTCCGACGCCCTCGCCTGATCATCGGTGGCTGTGGGGCAGAGGCGGTGGCCCGCCTTCGTCGCCTCCTCGGCGCAGGCATTCCCCCTCCGAGCCACCTCGTCGCGGGGCAGGCTCGCCTCGCCGAGTGGGAGGTGGGCCTCCTGCCTTGTGCACCGAGCGAAGGTGGGCGGCGACGCGCTGTCCGTGCAGGAGGAACCCTCGCAGGCCTACACCTTAAGCGATGCTTAAGAAAACCCAAGTTTTCGGCCAGAGTCTCGATTATTCTTAACGTTCCAATGTAAATCCTAAGATTTGAATGGAAATGTTGGGTTTTTTATTCAAGTTCTGAGATTATGAATTTCTTAACCCATGATTTCTTAAGCATTTCGCAGGGTGTAGAGGTTGACACCAACATCCAGATCGGCGGTGTGCCTCCACCGAGGGAAGACGGTCCCGATCTCGGTGATGGTGGTAATATGCTGGCTTCCAAGGTGACCGAACTCTTACCACCGACACCGAAGTCTAGGATCATCTTCCCCCTGTGGAGGCAATCCCCTGTGCCGGTGTGGGTGCCAATTTCCTGGCCTCCAAAACCCACCGTGGGGCCTCTTGTAGGGCAACTTGCCCACCCAGGGGTCTCTTAGCCCTGCGCATGCACATTCGCACAGTCTGTGTACAGAATGCTGGGTGAGCTAAGCCGCGCAATCGAGAGCAGCAAGTTCTTCAGCCTGAGAGGTTCGGGGGCGGCCTCCGTAGAAGGTGCCGCAGACCCGTCCCAGAAATCGGTTGCCATTTTAGTGTATGGCCATTGCCCAGGCCGCCCGATTCAATTCTGTTACCACGTGACGTGACGCGCTACCATCCAAGAACAATTCACCCGAAACCAAATGTTGATCCGATCCCACCCCCTCCACCCACTGCCCCCGTCTTATCAGGGCGTGGCCAAGTATCACCAGGGTTAGACAAGATGGCACGGGCCTTCAGGAGCAACTCTTGTGGGCTGTCCTTGCCCATGGCAGCAGGCTCTCGCCAGCACTGCTGTCGCAGGCGATCTCAGCGCGCACCTCTTCGCCCGCAGGTCACTTCCAGATCCTGTGGAGCAACGTTTCATGGCCCCGATCTCGAAGTTCGCACTCCATTTCGGAGGGGAGAAGCGGCACCAACACCAGGGGGGCCACCTCCAGCGAGGAGGTCCACGATGCCTCCCCGCGCTGGCGGCTGGGGATGTCTCGAGCGAGAGGGGGGACCACACCACCAGGGAGACCTCCCTTTCTCCTCGCGTCTCCTCGCCCTGTTGGTGCTGGTGTCGCCTTTCCTTGCTCCTGTCCTGTGGATCAACTTGTCAGGGCCCCGACCTCGAAGTTCGCACTCCGCTGCCACGATCCGAGGCCCCGGGCAGCGGGCGCGCACTTTCATGCACGAGGCATCGCAGCCGGATCGCGCGCACTCGCCGCACTCCCAGCGGGGGTGGACGGAACCCCCAACAGTGACGCGTCGATTAGTGAATTGTCCGTGTTCGGTTCTCGAGGGGGCGCCGTGGCCGTTATTTTCCAGACTTGCGCCCGCCAGGTTTGGGCCTCAGGTCGTTTTCGCTAAACCGCGTTTTACTAAAGGGGGGTCTGTCCATCCCCGATCCCAGCAGGCGAGGTCCCTGCTGAATGGAGCTTGCCGGAGTCGCAGCACGAGCGGGGGGCTTTCCAGCGACGAGCGCTCGGCAGCTCGACGCTCTCGACGAGGAGGAGGATCGCGTGAAGCCTCCACGCCTTCACGCTTCCGCCTCCCCGTGCCCAATGCACGTGCTGCACATGATTTTGGGAAGCGCACAGTATGCCGACTCGTGGCGAGATCCGCATACGATGCAGTCGTATTTGTCAATGCGGGACGCGGAATCGACGCTCGAGAATTTGTTCACAATACCGCTTTGTCCTCTCTCCGTCCTCTGTGTGTTGCCTCTCTCTCTCACTCTCTTTCTTCTCTCGTTCGCTTGAGTTTTGTCTCGCGTCATCCCATGTGTCACTCATAGCGGCGCCCTGGCCCCCCCCTGCTGTGCCCCCACGGTACCTCGACTGCAGGCCGAATGTCCGAACGGTTTGGCGAAGCATGATGATCAGGAGGCCAGGGCAAGCCTCCGTGAGGACAGGCTCTTCTTGAAGCCTGCTTGCCAGGGTAACCCAGTCGATCCTTGTCCAGCGGATCCCCTGCATGCACCGTGGCATGGCCGAGAAAGAATTCGAGACCTCGAGCCACGATTTTGGTACCGGTTTTGCTCAGCTGGCCTCCCAGGCCTGGCGGAGCTTGGCCAACGTGAATCTCTAGCAGCAAGCGATCGTGTGGGCACTCCAGTGCTCTTCCGCATTCCTAACGAGGGGCTCAGCAGCCGCCAGCCACGTGGGCCTATTCTCCATAATGAGCAGGCTTTTTAGCGAGTTACCTAGATAACCGGGTCCAACGGAAGCGTCTGCCTGCTGACGAATCCCATTGAGTTCCCTGTACGAAATGCTGTGGACCTCGGGCCCATAAAAGGGCCCCAGGCAACGGCCCAGACACCCACATTTCTTTGGCGTATTAGGTGATCTGGGCTTTCATGGCCCGTACCTTTCGGGTCTTGGCCTTTGGTTGGCCATCCTCACGTTGAATTTGGACTGCCTGAGAACCGTCTTTACGTAAGCTTGCCTACTAAAGCGGTCTGCGGTGATGTCGATACCCAGGTTAACCACGTTGTCAGCCGAGGGGCCAGCGCGGTCTCCAAGGAAAGCGTGCAAGTGGCGGGCAACCCGGGAGTCCTAGCACGCCAAGTTGCTTTTGCTGGCCTTGGACAGGGAGGTTCAGCAACCGCACTCCTCAGCTGAGGCTCGCTCCAGCTGCCTTGGGAGCCGATCCCGTGAAGTCCAGACCCGAGTCGTCGATAAATTGGGCCAGGAGAACCTCCCTCGGAAGCACGAAGCTGGTGAACGGCCCCAGGAGGTACGCGGGGACCAGCGGGACGTCGCCCTGGAGCACCCCGCCACCACCCCTCGGGGGACAGAGAGGGGGGGCCAGCCACCGCCGACCACATGCTGGTGAATCGGCCGCGCTTCTATGCGAGCATGCAAAGCTGGGCGACGGGAGTGGGGAGACCGAAGTTCTTAGACTCCACCGCCAACCGTTCCAGGTAGAACTTGTCGTACAGTGAGCGGCTTGAGTAAGGAACACTTACTTTGCAAAAGGGGCTCGGTCGTTCCTTAAGGCTTGCATGCGTTGCGAATCATGTTTTTTCCTTGGAAAACAGGGGCTTCGTTCCTTATGTATCGTTCCTTAGGTCAGGCCGATGACTGTAGAACTCGGCGACGAGCTCGGGGGGGAAGCGAGAAGGGGCGGGCCTTCCCAGAAGGCTCGGAAGGCCCCCGGCCTTCTCAGAAGTGGTCTTCAGTTTTCCCCGAAGACATAGAAAACCTCTCAGAAGGCGCGAGGGCTTCCAAAGAGTCCCGCTGCCTTCTGAGAAGGCCCTCTCCTTCTCGCTTCCCCCCCTCGCTCGCCGTCAAACTCAGTCATGCCCCAGAGATCGCCGCCACCTCGTGCGGGGCTCCGCACGGGCCGCTCGACGCCAGGCCGCGGCGGCAGCAGGCGTAAAGGGGAGTTGCCAGAGAAGCACAGCACGCGCACGTTTGGCCTCCCACCACTCGGCTGCGCGCCCGGGGGGAAGCGAGAAGGATCATGCTCAGTCGGGCACGTCCCTCTACAGGAGGAATGTTCAAAGACAGACCAATAATAGTCTGGGGACGATTGTCTGACTATTTGTGGTCATTCTGGGGCATGCTTGGGGTATGGCTTATGTTTCGTCCACAATCCGCCTGTAGGGTTTCTGAGAGTACCCGCCGTCTTCTGATCTCCTCATTTCCCCCCTCGCGCCCGCCGCCGAACTCCGCCGCCAGCTCCCTCGCAAATCCCCCCACGATCTGAAGATGCAGACGAACATCCCACTCGGTCCGTATCACCCTCTAGCTCTGCAGTGAAGGACCACCTAGATGATCTGGAGCTTGCGCGGGAGGCTGGGCATCGCCTCAAAGATGGCGAAACACATACATCCGACGCGGAGGGCCGAATCAGACAGTCGCGCGTAGTGCCGCGCGTGGAACCCGTCCACTGCTTGCGCCGCCGACGCCGTGTACGCAGCAGAGACTGCTCGGATACGATCATGCGGCACAAGAGGAAGGGTCCTGGCAGTGACCTTCCAACATACTCATTGTGATCCTCTGATGATGCCTCTGATAACGACGACGACGATGGTCATGATGATGCTGATGATGATGATGAGGAGGAGGAGGAGGACGAGGAGGTGGTGATGGTGCTGCTGCTACTCATGCTGATGCTGATGATGGTGCTGCTGCTGCTGTTGCGCAAGCGCATGCTTGTGATGGCGATGATGGTGATGGTGATGGTGATTATGATGACGATGGTGATGATGATGTCGATGCTGACGCTGATGCTGATGATGATGGTGTCAATACTGATGCTTCCTATGCTGATGCGGAGGAGGAGAACGAGGAGGAGTATGGGCAGGAGGATGGACGCGAGTGGGGATGGTGCTGGTGAAGATGATGCTGTTGTTGCTGAACACGATGATGATGGTGGTGATGGTGATGGCGATTCTGGTGGTGATGGTGGTGATGCTGATGCTGCTTCTGATGATGACGATGATGATGATACTGCTAAGGATGATGTCAATGATACTGCTGCTGCTGATGATGCTGAGGAGGAGGAGGAGGACGATGACGATACTGGGAGGTGGTTGTGATGGTGTTGCTGCCACTGTTGCTGATGCTGGTGATTATGCTGCTGGTGCCGAAGAGGATGACGGCAGTGATGATGGTGGTGACGATGATGGTGAGGACGACGATGATGGTGATGATGGTGATGGTGATGATGGTGATGGTGTTGGTGATCAGTGTGAGTACGATGATGACGACGATGGTGATGATGATGCAGATGATGCGTATGCTGATGATTATGCTGATGATGTTGATGCCGATGATGCTGCCGATGATGATGATGCTGATGATGATGGTGGTTGCGATCGCGATGATGATGACAACGACGAGGATGATGCTGATGCTGATGACCATGCTGCTACCGCTCAGGGTGCTGATGAAATGTATAATAAGACTGTTGCGAGTAAAGGTATTAAATCACACTAACGGTGCTGAATATGGGACGGCTACGAGTATCCTGCTTAAGAAGAAGATGATGATGTTGATGATGCTGATAAGTATTATGATGCTGTTGATGCTGATGCGGCTGCTGCGGATGATTATGATGCTGATGATTTTGATGCGGTTGTTGCTGATGACGATACTGTTGATGATGATGATGCTGACGATTCAGTATGGTGGTAATAATGCTGCTGATGATGATGATGATGATGTTGATGGTGATGCTGTTGGTGATGATACGGATGACGATGATGATGATGATGATGGTGGTGATGCTGAGGGTGATTATGATGATGATTAGGAGGAGGAGTAGGAGGATATGCTGCTGCTGTTTCTGCTGCTGGTGATGACGATGATGCTGGTGATGCTGGTGATGCTGACGATGATGCTGATGTTGATGGCGATGTTAATGTTGATGTTGATATTGTTGTTGGTAATGATGCTTCTGATGCTGACGCTGATACTGACGCTGATGCTGATTCTGATGATGATGGTGATGATGATGGTGAAGATGATGATGATGCTGATGATGATGATGATGATGATAGGCGGATAAGGATGATGATGATGATGATGACGATGATGATGATGAATCTGATGATGATGATGATGATGATGATGATGAAGATGAAGATGCAGATGATGATGATGATGATGATGATGATGATGATGATGATGATGATGATGCTGATGCTGATGCTGATGTTGATGATGATGATGATGACGATGAAGATGATGATGATGATGATGATGATGATGATGATGATGATGATGATGATGATGATGATGATGATGATGATGATGATGATGATGATGATGATGATGATGATGATGATGATGATGATGATGATGATGATATGATGATGATGATGATGTATGATGATGGTGGTGGTGGTGGTGGTGGTGTGTGGTGGTGATGGTGATGATGATGATGATGATGATGATGAGATGATTATGATGATGATGATGATGATGATGATGATGATGAGATGATGAGGATGAGGATGAGGATGAGGATGAGGATGAGGATGAGGATGAGGATGAGGATGAGGATGAGGATGAGGAGGAGGAGGAGGAGGAGGAGGAGGAGGAGGAGGAGGACGAGGAGGAGGAGGAGGAGAAGGAGGAGGAGGAGGATGTCGAGGAGTTCGAGGAAGAGGAGGAGGAGGAGGAGGAGGAGGAGGAGGAGGAGGACGAGGAGGAGGAGGACACATAAGAGGGATGAGAGAATGAGGAGGAGGAAGAGGATCATCATAATTAGGAGCAGGAAGACGAGGAGGAGGAGAAGGAGAGTTACGAGGGGGGAGGCTGGGGGTGGTCGGGCCGGGGGAGTGGCAGGATGAGAAGTAGGGGGTGGGGCGGACAGCATGAGGTTCTCCCCAGCACTCCCCAGAGAACGCGCTTGCAAGAGGTTTCCTCCCAGCTCCCCAGAGCTCCCCAGAAAACCCATCCCTCTACTCCTTCCTGCCCTCGCCCATCCACCCGTCCATCCGTCCCTCCGTCCGAACGTCCGCCCACACATCCGTCCGTCCGCCCGTCTATCTGCCCATCCCTCCTCGCAGTGAAGCACGGCGATGGCGCCGACGCCGACGCCGACGCCGCCCCCGACGGCGGCGGCGGCGGCGGCGGCCCCGCCCGCGCCGCCGGAGGAGCACATCGCTGATGTCGAGCTGCTCCAGGATCCTCAGCGAGCCGCGCCCGAAGCCGCCGGAGCCGGAGAAGAAGGAGAAGAGGGAGAAGAAGGAGCCGACGGCGGCGCGCGCGCTCTCGCCCGCCTCGCCTTCCTCCCTCCCCCTCCCCCTCCCCCCCTCCTCTCCCCTTGGCGTAACCCTCCTCCTCCTCCTCCTCCTCCTCCTCCTCCTCCCCTCTCCTCCCTCCTCCTCCTGCTTCTCCTCCTCCTTCTCCTCCTCCTCCTGCTTACCTCCTCCTCCCTCCTCCTCCTCCTCCTCCTCCTCCTCCTCCTCCTCCTCCTCCTCCTCCTCCTCCTCCTCCTCCTCCTCCTCCTCCCCCTCCTCCCCCTCATCCTCCCTTTGCCTCCTCCTCTCTCCTTGTCTCCCCCATCGCCACCCCTTCCTTCTCCTCCTCCCTCGCCCCCTCCCTCCTTCCTTTCTCCCTCCTCTGCTCGGAGCCGCGGAGGAGCATCGGGACCCCCCTCCCTCTCTCCTCCCTCCTACCGAGGCTGCGGAGGGCCTAGCTTTTGAAGGGGCAGGCTGTGCTGTAGGCCCCGGTGGTCAGAGACCCCGACGGGCAGGCAGCGCCCTCGTGCGTCCCGCGTGGAACGACCGTTCCGCGCAGCCATGGGTCTGGGCCAGGACCTGCTTCAGGAGCGACGACAGGGGGGGGATAGGCTCAGGGCGGAATGCAGCGACCCCAAATCTCCCGCACGTGCGTACGTCGCCCGTGGGGCGTGCCAGCCCACCCCGCCCGGGCACGTGCAACCTCGGTTCGAGGGCCCATCGCCGATCCATCGGCGAGCTCTCCTCCTCTTGAGCTCGACGTTCCGTGTGAGCCGTTGGTGGAGGTCCGAGCTCGGTGGGACTGACCACTGCTCGGGAGGAGGAGGAGGCGGAGGAGGAGGAGGACGAGGCGGAGGAGGAGGAGGAGGAGGACGAGGAGGATGAAGAGGCTTCGGGGCGCTCGGGGAGTGCTCACCATGTGGGTCCGCCCGTGTACGGGGTAAACTTTTTCCCGAAGCCTATCGCTTGGCTGCCCTGCACGGCATTCGGAGCTTGCTCGAAAGGGCCAGTCATCGGCGGCGGGCGAGGGGGGCATGTGAGAAGGAGAGCGCCTTCTCAGAAGGCTTGGAATTCCCACGGCCTTCTGATAAGTTGTGTATGCCTTTCCCGAAGGCGCAGAAAACTTTTCAGAAGTCGCGAGGGCTTCTGAGAAGCTCCGCCGCCCTCCGACAAGGCATTTTCCTTCTCACCCCCCCCCGCTCGCCGCCGAAAGTACTCGCACATCAGCGCGGAGAGCACTCCTCTGAGGCCAAAGGGCGGCCCGGCGCCTAGTCATTCGCTGGGGGGCAAGAATTGATGCAGTCAACTCGTATAGTAAGGATGTGCAGCTTTCCCAAGGGTACCTTTGCATCCTTGTCTCCTCGGCCCATCCTTGGCCGCTTTCGCTGGCCGCGCCCCGCTCGCAAAGTGTCGGCATGGCCTCCCGGGGCCCTTGCTATCGTACGGCCTTCTGATGCGGGTCGACTGTATGGTTTCTGATGCAGTTCCCTCATCGCTCCTCCTCGATTTCTTTCTCCTCCTCATTGCGATGCTGGTGACGCTGTCGCCGCTGCGGCGCGCTTCTTGCGGCCTCCCTCTTCCCTTGGAGCCGTTATTGGGACCTTCTGGCCCCTCTTGCGGGCCTCGGGGGCCGTCTCGAGGGTCTCCTAGGGGCCTTTTAGGCCGTCCTGCTTTCAACACCGAAAAGGCGAGCAAGGGCATATCATACTCAATGCTTTCAGTGATCTGGGCTTCTTGGACTGGTTCCCAGGGCCTCCAAGACGGTCCACGTGGCGCCCGAGGGAGCCCCAGGACGGTCCGTCGGGACCATCTCAGGACATGTGGGAAGTATGGGTTCCCAACCTTGCTTCCGAGGCCTCCAGACAAGCCACGCGACAGGCCCCACGAACGCGCTGGAGCGGACAAGATCGCCCGAGCATTTTTGGGATCCAACGTCCGGGCTTCTTACCTGCAAGGTTGACTCCAGGGCCTGAGAAGGACGCTCCACTCCGCGCCCAGGGCCCGGTAACGAAAAAGTACTTGTTATTCCTCTAAGCTTCTGGGCCACGAACTGTGGGGGAGCTCTTCCTCCCCGATCCCCTTGTTACCATTCCTCCATCTCCATCCCCCTTTCTCCTCTTCCTCCCCTCCTCTTCCCTCCCCTCCTCCTCCTCCTCCTCCTCCTCCTCCTCCTCCTCCTCCTCCTCATCCTCCTCCTCCTCCTCCCTCCTCCCTCCTCCTCCCTCCTTCCTCCTCCCCTCCTCCATCCCTTGCTCCTCATCCTCCCTTCCTCCCTCCGCGTTCCCCTACCCCCCTCGCCCTGGGCGCCGGGCCCAGGACAAGAAAGGCAAGGGCGACAAGGGCAACGACGAGGGCTCGGCCGAGAAGGGCGAAGGGGAGGAGGCCGCCTCCGAGAAGAAGGAGGACGTCGGCCGTTTGCTTTTGTTTGAGGTAGGGGTGGGCGCTCACTTTCCTGTTTTTGTGTAAAAAGGTTTTGGACCCGACCCGTCGGCTCTCGTGCATCCTTGCCTCCCCGGCCCATCCTTGGCCGCTCTCGCTGGCCGCGCCGCGCTCGGAAAGCTTGGACTTGGGCGCCCAAGGCCCTTGTATCCTTATCGCGCATCCTTATCAGACGGGCCGACTGTATCAGTTCTTGCGCCCCAGCGGACTATCAGGCGCCCGGCCGTCTCCTCTCCGCTCCTCCTCGCTCCTCCTCCTGCTCCTCCTCCTCGCTTCTCCTCCTTTTCCTCCTCCTCCTTCTCCTTCTCTTCCTCCTCCTCCTTCTCCTCCTCCTCCGCCTCGCTCCTCATCGCTCCTCCTCCTCCGCGCTCCTCTGCCTCGCTCCTCCTCCTCCTCCTCCTCCTCGCTTCGCCTCCCCTCCTCCTCGCTCCTCCTCCTCCTCCTCCTACTACTACTACTACTCGTCCTCCTCCTTCTCCTACTCGTCCTCCTCCTGCTCGCTTCTTCTCCTCGCTCCTCCTCCTCCGCCTCCTCCTCTATCTCCTCGTCCTCCTTCTCCTCCTCCGCCTCCATCCCGCCTCCTCCTCCTCCTTATCCTCCTCCTTATGTTCCTCCTTCTCCTCGCACCTCCTCGCTTCTTCTCCTCGCTCCTCCTCCTCCTCGCTCCTCCTCCTCCTCCCTCCTCCTCCTCCCCTCCTCCTCCTCCTCTTGGCTTCTTCTCCTCCTCCTCCTCCTCCTCCTCCTTCTCATCGCATATCTTCGCTTCTTCTCTTCGCTTCTCCTCCTCCTCGGTCCTCCTCCCCTTCCTCATCGCTCCTCCTCCTCCTCCTCCTCCTCCTCTCCACGCGTCTTCTCCTCCTCCTACTCCGCCTCCTCCTCCTTCGCCTCCTCCTCCTCCTCGCTCCTCCTTGCTCCTTTTCCTCCTCCTCCTCCTTTCTCCTCCTCCTCCTCCTCCCCTCCTCCTCCTCTTCCTCCGCCTCCTCCTCCTCACCCTCCTCCTCTTCCCTCCTCCCCCCCCTCCTCCTCCTCCTCCTCCTCCTCCTCCTCCTCCTCCTCCTCCTCCTCCTCCTCTCCTCCTCCTCCTCCTCCTCCCTCCTCCTCGTCCCCCCCCTCCTCTCCTCCTCCTCCTCCCTCTCCTCCTACTACTCCTCCTCCTCCTCCTCCTCCTCCTCCTCCTCCTCCTCCTCGCTCCTCCTCGCTTCTTCTCCTCGCTCCTCATCCTCCTCTTCCTCGCTTCTCCTCCTCCTCCTCGCTCTCCTCCCTCTTCGCTTCTTATCCTCGCTCCTCCTCCTCCTCCGCGCTTTTCGTCCTCCTCCTCCCCTTCCTCCCCCTCCTCCTCCTCCTCCTCCTCCTCCTCATCCTCCTCCTCCTCCTCCTCCTCTCTTCCTTTTCCTTACACATAACGGTTCGTTCTCTCTCTCTCTCTCTCGCATCCCGGGGCCAGTTGTTAGGGCGGGCTTGGCGTTTCGATGGAGACGTCCTTACAATTGATGGTTGTGAAGCGTAAATTTTGGCAGTAGATTCACAGATGGAGGACGGGCTGTTTTCAAAATGTGGCGCTCGCCGTAGCGCAGCGCACATCCGTTGTAAACTTTGCAAGGGTTTCACGGATTGAGGGCGGGTGGTTTTCAACATGTGGGTCTCGCCTTAGCGCAGCGCACATTCGTTGTACAAAATGCAAGAATGTCACGGATTGGGGGCGTGTGGTTGTCAAAATGTGGCTCTCGCCTTAGCGCGGCGCACATTTGTTTTTTGGTTAACAAAACGCAGCAGTCTCACGAATTGAGGGCGGTTCCGTTTCAACATGTGGTTCTCGCCTCAGCGCGGCGCACATTCCTGTTTTTGTTTACTGGAAAATGGAAGGGCTTAACGGATTCCATTCATCAACGTGCCAGAAACGGTGTCTTGAAAGGGTGCAGGATTGTGCGGGTGCAGCCGTTATGCTGATTCGTTGTGTTGAAGTCCCAGGGATGGCGTTCTGGCACGATTCAGGATTGCGAAGACGCAACAGTCAGGTTGATCCGTTGCGTTGGACTCCCGAGAACACTGTTTTTGGCATGCTTCAGGGTCTTCAAGCGGTTGTCTTCCACAGGGGCAGTTATTTCAATGGAAATAAACCGTTGTAGGGGCCCGTGAAGAGGGAGCTTGGAGGGAGGGATTATTCCAACATCGTTGATGATTCTTGGGTTTACGCTGGTCTTCCTCCCTCCTCCTCGCTTCTTCTCCTCGCTCATCCTCCTCCTCCTCCTCCTCCTCCTCGTTTCACCTCCTCCTCCTCCTCCTCTTCCTCCTCCTCCTCTTCCTTGTTCCTCCTCGCGTCTTGCTCCTCCTCCTCCTCCTACTCCTCCTCTTCGCTCCTAGCTCCTCGCTCCTCCTCCTCCTCCTCCTCGCTCCTCCTCCTCCTCCGCGCTCCTCCTCCTCCTCTTCGCTTCCCTTCCTCCCCCTCCTCCTCCCCCTCCTCCTGTCCGCCAGCGCCCCGCACAGCGGGCCCCTCCCCGGGAGCTCGCCCCTCTTCGGAGGCCTCCGCGGCGGCGGCCTCGACGACAGCCTGGGCCCGCCTCGCCTCCTCGGCCCTGGCTGCCGCCCTTCCTCGTCGAAAAATAGCATGGGGACGACTTCTCTTTTTCTTCACACAAACACACACATACATACATACATACATACATACATGCATGCATGCATGCATGCATGCATGCATACATACATACATACACACATATATACACACACATACATACATACATACCATGCCATACCATACCATACCATACCATACCATACCATACCATACCATACCATACCATACCATACCATTCCATACCATACCATACCATACCATACCATACCATACCATACCATACCATACCATACCATACCATACCATACCATACCATACCATACCATACATGCATACATACATACATACATACACACATACGTACGTACGTACGTACGTACATACATACATACATGTATCCACATATATATATACAGATATAACTATGTTTCAATGCTCTCCCATAATAGCATGGGGACGATTTGTCTGACTAATTTCCCCAATCGGTGCTTGCACTGAAGGGGTCCTTGCACTGAAGGGGTCCCAAAATAGCATGGGGACGACGATCAATGGAGAGGAAACACGCTATCACATAATTTCCAGATGTCTAGAAACATTGTTCAAACATGTTTAACAGATGTAAGACTCCCTTAAAACATGTTTAGAACATGTTTCCTACATTTTAAACACACATTAAACACACAGATAGGACTGTTCGTAATTTTTAATGTTTCTCCCCCAAATCCGCCTGCATGGGGGACATGCCCGACCCCGCTGTAGTGCTGCATCGTCGCGTCGGACCCGCGCTCGCACTCGAAGGACAAAGTCGCGTCACGAGCATGCACTTTGAGGCGCTCCGCTCGGCTTCCTCGGGCCCGCGCTGCCCTCCCCCCCCCGGCGGCGGCTCCGGCGCCGCCCCGCTGGCGCGCTCCGCGCGCCAGGGAGGGGGGGCCAGCGCAGATATCCAAGAAATCCGCGCGGAACGCCTCAAAGTTTCTGTCTGTGCCAATTTCTCTTCCTCGATCTACTACGCGTACCGCTGATGTCCAGCTTGAAGTCGGGCCTGCCCCTCTACAGGGGGAATGTTTTCAAAAATGGTCCAGAATTAGCCTGGCGAAGGACCCAACCATATGCAGTTGTGAGTACCGCAATTGTGAATATCTTCTTTGGTGGCGCCCCCTATGGGGCCACGAAACGCTGTACTTGGTGAGTGAAACGCAGGGAGCAAGGGCCGTGTTGGGTGGTGGCGGACGCATGCGGGCGGTGCCACTGGGACCTTCGGTGGAGCTCCCCATGGGGCCACGAAACGCTGTACTGGGTGGGTGAAACGCAGGGAGCAAGGGCTGTGCTGGGTGGTGGCGGACGCATTCGGTGGAACCCCCGTATGAGGCCACGAAGCGTTGTATTGGGTGAGCGAAACGCAGAGAGCAAGGGCTGTGCTGGGTGGTGGCGGACGCATGCGGGCGGTCCCACTGGGACCTTCCGTGGAGCCCCCTATGGGGCCACGAAACGCTGTACTGGGTGGGCGAATCGCAGGGAGCAAGGGCTGTGCTGGGTTGTGGCGGACGCATGCAGTCGGTGCCACTGGGACCTTCCGTGGGGCCCCTTCTGGGGCCACGAGATGTTGTATTGGGTGGGTGAAACGCAGGGAGCAAAGGCTGTGCTGGGTGGTGGCGGACGCATGCGGGCGGTGCCACTCAGACCTTCGGTGGAGCCCCCTATGGGGCCACGATGGTACTGGGTGGAGGAGGACCAGTGCAAACCCGAAACTCATCAACGATATTGCAGTCAACCCTCTCTCCAAGTTCCCACTCCAAAGGCCCCTACAAAGAGGAGGAGGAGGAGGAGGAGGAGGAGGAGGAGGAGGAGGAGCGAGTAGAAGAAGCGAGGAGAAGAAGCGAGGAGGAGGAGGAGGAGGAGGAGGAGGAGGAGGAGGAGGGAACTCCCCCGCAGTCCAGATGCAGCGGCCGCCCGATGCTGCGCACGGGCGGCGCAGCGCACCCCTTGCTTCGGACAGGGCCGGGGCGAGGAGACGCCCCCGTCGCCGGAGCGTGCCGGGAGGGTCCGAGAAGGCCGCGGCCCCCGACGCTCAGGAGGGCAAGAGTGGCGGCGCGCCGAGGAGGAGGAGGAGGATGAGGAGGAGGAGGAGGAGGAGGAGGGAGGAGGAGTGAGGAGGAGGAGGAGGAGGGGGAGGAGGAGGATGAGGAGGAGAGGAGGAGGAGGGGAGGAGGAGGTAACTCGGGTCAGGGATAACTCGGGTTCGTTTTTTCGGGAACCCGAACCCGAGTTACCCCGGCCCGAGTTACCCCGGATAACTCGGGCGTCCAGAGCCCCGAATCATCAGGGGTAACTCGGGTCAGGGGTAGCTCGGGTTCCTTTTTCGGGAATCCAAACCCGAGTTACCCCGGACCCGAGTTACCCCGGATAACTCGGGCGCCCAAGTAGGGGGAGGGGGAGGGTTTCTTAGAAGCACCCCTGCTTCTTAGAAGGGCGCGGGCCTTCTCTGTAAACGCAAGGCTCGCTGCTTCTAAGGAGCAGCCTTCTTCTGAGAAGCCTTCCCCCCTTCCCCCTACCCCCTTGTGCGCACCGCCAAAGAGAAACACACAGACACAATTCATCGTCGACTCCCAGGAAGATATGGGAAGATATGGGAAGCGGGGGGGGATATGGGAAAAGATGGGAAGTGGGGAATCATGT